CCAATCGCACAATGCTTGCAATTCCAGGCTGCGATGGCAACGACGTCGTTCCTGGCCGCGGCCCTCGACGGCGACCCGTCGTCCGACTCGGATTACGTGGCTGGCGACGACGTCTCGTCGAGCGAGTCGTCGAGCGCTGGTAGCGGCCTCGAGGACGAGCCCAAGAGCGACGACGAGTACGTGACCCAGAACACCAAGGTCGTGCAGCTCGTCAACTACGCGTGCTGCGCCAAGCGCTGCATCTTTGGCCGCACGGAAGAGATGGACCTCTTCATTAGCTCGCTCGACGAGATGTCCAAGGAGCTACGCCACGCCTGCATCCTCACGTCGCTCTCGATCTCCATCTCGATGGGGCGGAAGCGCAAGTCCCGCTCCAAGGGCGTCCGCGCCCGGTATGCGTATGTCATGCCGTACCTCGGCGCCGTGTGCAAGCAAGCGTTTGAAGCGTGCTTTGAGATCTCGAACGGGTCGCTCAACAAGCTCCGGAAGCAGGTCTCGACTTCGATCGTGCCCAAGAAGCACGGCAACCTCTTCAACCAAAACGCCAAAGCCATCGACTACGACGCGCTGCGGGAGTGGCTCACGGCGACGGCCACGAACATCGGCGCCCCGCTCTCGGTCCGCCGCAAGTCGCGCACGAAAGACGACGACGGCGTCGTGCACGTGCAGTACCGGACCGACACGGTGTACGTGCTCCCGTCGACCATGACGTACGAGAAGCTGCACGCCGAGTACCTCGCGCACCTCGGTCCGCACCCGACGCGCGTCCCGAGCGAGAAGTCATTCCGGCAGTTCATCAAGTCGTCGTGCCCGCATCTGCGCATGGCGGCCGACGCCAAACACAGCAGCAAGAAGAAGCCGCCCTTGTAATCGCAATGCAGAGTCATTTATTCCAACGACTACTTGCGCACGGCGCCCCAGCCTTTCGTGACGCCACTTCGAGGCGCTGACGCCGGCACGTCATCCTGCGTGAACGAGCCAAACGAAAGCGGGAGTTTCCGGCGCTGTGACGGCAGCTGCGTCGCCTGCGTCGTTGTCCCAACGTCATCGTCGCTGTCGTCCAAAGAAATTGCCTCGGGCGTCGGTTTGCTCTGGCTCGTCGTCCACTCGGACAAGGTCGACTGACCCTTGAGCGGCGCCTTGCGCGAGGCGGCTGGCGCGCGCGTCTTTCGAGCAGCAGGTGCTTTCGCGCTCTTGGGTGGCGACGACATCACCACGTCATCGTCGTCATCGTCGTCATTGTCAGGCTGACTCGTCACGCGCGCCGAGGCAGCTCTAGGCTTGCGGGCGGCGGGCGGCTTGGTCTTCTTGGCGGGTGGGGAGGCCACGTCGTCATCGCTCGTTGGCTTGGACGCACGCGGACGACGGACGGCGGGGGCTCGTTTTTTCGGTGGCGGGGAGGCCACGTACTCGTCGTCATCGTCCGACAAGCCATCGCCATCTTCCGGCGGCGCCGACGTCGTGTGGGGCTGCGAGAGGAGTTGCTCGAGCATGGTCGATGTCACGTCGGCCTGGGTCGGGACCTACCACGGCATCTCAATCCTCCATGACAAAGAGTAGTGTGTACCGAGAGACTGGCGCGCATGCGATCCACGTTCTTCTCGACGAGCGCTTGGATCTCGGCCTTGGTGACCGTGCCTTTGCTCTGCTTAAGCGCCTGCTGCGTCTCGTCGAGGACCGAGTCGACAAACTCGGTGAAGGCCGACGGGACGTTCTTGAACACATACTCTTCGAGCGCGTGGGCCATGTTGACTTCGGGAAAGATGTCGAGCTTGAGCTCGCTCTGGTCGAGCTGCGCCGCCAAGATCTGCTCCACGCGCACGACCGCGTCGTTGGGCGGCGGCGGCCGAATCGGCGCCAAGAGCCCGCCTTTGCTGGCCTTCTCGTCCTTGCTCGCTTTGTCTTTTCTCTCGCCCTTGTTGCGGGTGAAGAGGAGAATGTCGCCGGGGTTCGCGACGCGCCCGACAAACTGACCGCCAAAGCGCTGGTTGTTGATCACGGGAAAGCCTACCCAGGCGTCGAATCCTACTGAACGTCATCTCGGCCACGCACCCGTGTGCTCGACACGCAGCCGAACGAGAATCTCCATCGGGTCGGCGTGCACCGCAGCAAGCTCGGCGTTGGCCTCGTCCAAGAGCTCTTGCACCTACTCCATGGCTAGCATTCGACCCACGTCGGCGCAATAGTACCCGCGACGTAAGGATCGAGTGCATCTTCTCGGCGACCTTGGGGTCGTTTGGGTCGAGGCCATCGATGTCGCGAAAGGCTACGTCGCCAATTTTGAAGGGCCGGACCGTCTTGAGGGGCTCGGCACGGAGGCGAAAGTCGCTGCCTCGGATTTCAAGAATGCCCACCTGCCTCGCGTCATGGCAAGCAAGCGGACGAGGCAGCATCGTACCTGCTTGGGCTTGGCCTCGCCTTCGATGAGCGACGTCGCGACGCTGGACCCGGGCTGCGTGATGAAGAAGTTGCCCTTCGCGCTCTCTTCGAGCTCGATGAGGCACTCGTGTTCGTGGCCCCAAATGACAAAGTCGATGAACTCGGGAATGAAGCTCTCTGGGAGGCAGTTCTTGGCGCCGCGACCGCGATTGTCGCGGTTCTGGTGCACGACAAAGATGGAGAACCATGCGTCCGGCGACTCCTCGGGCCGCCGGAAGCGCACTTGGCCCTTGGCAAACATGCGATGGAGACGCTCGTCGCGCATGTTGCCGAGGCCGTAGATCGCGATCTTGGTCGCGCCCTTCTCGAGCAGAATCGGAAACACTTCGATCTCGTCGACGCGGTCCGACTTGCCAAAGTAGTTGACCTACATACACAGCGTCAACACCTTGGCGTTGCAGCAGCGAGTTGCTGACGAGGTTGGCCGCAGAGAGCAGGTCGAGGGCCGCGAGCGAACGGCCAGCCTCGCCCGTCGGATCATCGTGGTTGCCGTGGATACTAAAGATCGGGAGGCGCACGTTCACGTTCGGGTCCTCGTAGTTGGCGACGCCAAAGTTGGGAAAGTTCAAGCTCTGGTCCGAGAGGATCTGAAAGTTGATGTTGCCGTCGCCTACGTTGAGCCTATGAGCTCCTTGAAGGCAGCTGCGACGCTGCGCACCGAGGCAGTAGTGGCGCAGGAGCGACATGGTCCGGTACATGGTCGCGCGGCTGGGCTTGTTGTGGTGGAAGAGGTCGCCGGCGAGGAGCACAAAGTCGACCTTGGCCTTGACGCCGATGGCCAGCATCTCCTCGAAGGCGCGGAACGAGTCTTTGCCGCGGACGCCGTCATGCTCGCAGTAACCGAGGTGATTGTCGGTGCTCACGAGGATCTTGACCGTCGCTCCATCCTCGTCGGCCATGGCACTTGAAAAAATCTCGTTGGATTTAACCTTGTAGGTAATACGCGTTTAACCCACCGGTGGCACGGAGGCCGATGCAGATCAGACTGGTGGTACGCGGCGGACGAATATCCACGCGCGTTGAAACCACATTGCTTCAAGTATAGTGCTGTTGCTGGATGGTGCGTGCCAACAGCTATTGCTTCCATCATTTGCAGACGAAGCCACACAGTCACCTGAATAACGCGTTTTTATTGTGACTTTAACCTTTGTCCGAGTGGCCACAACTGCAACGACACAGCCAACTTGGCTACATGGTGCTTGTGGAGCTACATCAGGTGAGCTCATACACAAGCATCACGCATCAACTCCTCCTCGTTGACTCGCCGCGGGAATTACTTGGTGATATTCCATCCTTGCATGCCGTTTTTCTAACCTAAATTTCTGAATTCGACGAGACCGCAAAGTTTCCCTAAATTTGCAGCCGACCAAGGACGTCATATTTGAATCCACCATGTCCCCAACGAGCACTTCTGGGTCCAGAGTGCATGATTCCCAGGAGACGTACCAGCGCCGCTACAAGGTGGCCCATCGTTACCTGGCCGAAGGGCGTTCCCACAGACAGTCGTGGTTCTTTGCTTTCCGAGAAGTGCCTCGTGCGCAAACAGTCACTTCCACAACACCTCAGCCCAACAGCGTCGTGTCACAGTGCTCTCAAATGAGCAGCTAACGTTACTACAGCTCCGGGGTACGACCGAGGCTCTGAATCCCCAGCACGAACCCTCGTCACAGGCTACCTGGTCGACGAGTGGCACCGTGAGCACGCGCCTCGTGTGCCAAGTTTGCAATTTTCTCAATAGCATCATCGACACGCACTGCGGGCATTGCAGGACGCCCTTGCCGGGGGCGACCGCAAAGCTCAAGATTTTGCTCAAGCGCGTGGAGGTGGTGCAGTCCAAGGGCGGGGCGAGCGACGCTGCCGTCGTGTGCCAGGTCTGCGAGACGCTGAACGCCATGGCGGACGCTGTGTGCAGGGACCCCGACTGCAAAGAATCACTTCCAAACGACGCCGAGAAGCTCTGCATCCTTGTCCGCCGCATCGAGCTTGTCAAGGAAGCGCCACAGCCAGCCTGATGTAGTTTCACGATGTGCTCGAACAGGCTTTGTTTGCACTCGGCATTCGCAGCCAAGACGAGAAGAGCGTCATAGCGAATTAAGCAGTATTAGCCCGAGTATTAGCCAAAGCTGCAGCATCCAGCATATGGTGTTTGCCAATCACTGACCGTGTTGAGCGGCCGACGTCTCCTGGGGCTGCTTATCAAGTACTAGTACTCGTGACGTTTAAAATGAATTACTAGAATTAACCTCGTGTTTTCTTGGGGCAGGTTTTGGTCGGGCTCTTTGGCTGAGGTATTGCATATGGGGGTGGCGTGCAATTTAGAGATTGGTTTGTGCGTGCGTGTGTTGTACCGGTAGCTTGGACTCATCGGTGTACGGAATCATGTACACCCTGCCAGTTTTCTTGAGGCAGAGTGTGGTCGAGCTTTGTGGTTTAGATGGGGCATAGGGCCGGTGAGCCATCTAGCGGTCTTCCTACGTAGCATGCGCAGTGGTTTGATCCGTGTAGAAGGTTTGTGCAGGGTGCTGTAGCGCTTCTTGATTTCGGCTTGGTTTCGGGGCCGCGTGCAACCTAGCGGTATGTCTGTGTCGTAGCTTGGACAGTGTGGATGCCATCTAATCATCGGTACACGGGCTTATACTATGCACTTGAAACGCAC